TAAATATTTATACTGGAAAAGAAAATCGTGAGAGAATCGTGATCTCAATTCTAAGCAAAAAATTTGTGATTCTCATTTTATGCAAAATCGTGCAGCCCTAACATAACCCCGCTAACTGCACCAGTCCAGAGCCCACACAGACACAAGGAAAACATGCAAACTCCTCACAGAAAGGACCCGGCCAGCTGCTGGAATCAAACTCAGGACCTTCTTGCTATGCGGCAACAGTGCTAACCACCGTACCAACAAAAATACAAAATACAGCCCACACGCAAACAAATTCAACAAGGGCCAAAGTGAAGGAGTGAAGGGAGAAAAGGAACGCAGAAACAAACTCACGGGGAAATGGCTGAAAGTGCGACTGCGGTTCAAAGAAGACCTGGCAAAGCAAGAAAGAAAAGCATGGGAGCAGATATATACTGGGGGAGTGTCCGGCTAATTAGAAACAGACACGGCAGAAAAGAAAAACACGTGAAGGAGAAGAGCTAAACGGGCCTGCTCGGTTATGATGAAAATCATCGAACAGTAGTAGAGGATTTATTAAACTCGTCGTCCCATCAGAGCAGCGAAGGAGCTGGATGTAGGCTGGGTGGAGCTGGCGGGGGGGGACTGTGTCTGCCGGTGCATTATCTTCAGAGCTGGATACCAGCCGTGCCAGCGTGAAAACAAACCTGTCTCCGCCAGAGCATTCAGTCCTCGGCTGTCAGGGAAATGCACAAATGGGTTTCTGTGGCAGCAGCGAGCCAGTTTTCCACTTTCATCTTTGCGCCGTGTTTTCGACATGAATTGAAGCTGCTGGAAACCAACTTCCACCCTGCTGTAGCGCTGGCAGAATGTCCTGCCCTCCCAGTTTTGCAGGGAAACGGTGTGCTGGGAAAATCGCATTCAGTCCTTTGGCAGGTATGCTTAAATACTTTGTGTGAAAATTGTCCAGACAGGAAGAGGAAAGAGAACAGAAATGTCCACTAAATAACATCGCCCCAGCATCCTGACAGGTCACAATGAATTTCTGATTGATGAATGGTCATATTTGCTTCTCCTGCTGAGGTTTAAAACACATTTCCATTCTCAGTATAGTTTGTACAGGCTAGCAAGCCTCTGCAGGGCCTTGATCCTTTTGAGACATATTACTAAACGTTCTCAGAAATACTTTAAATAAGCTGTGGTGGTTATTTTTTCATCATTTAATTTAAAATGATAAACTTCATTTTCTTTTTCTTTCATTTTCCTTTACATGTAATATACTGAAGCATCTGAAGCTCATAGGTCATTAAAATAAGAAATCCAGTGCCTCTATTTATTAGAATATTTCTCAAGATCATTCAAAGGAAGGTTTGACAATAAACGTGTCCA